GGTTAAACAACAAAGTCCTCTGAATCAAAGGCAGGAAGTGGGACCATTTAATTCTCCAATTTCAAACACCATCCCTAAGAGTATATAAACCAAAAGGCCCCTCTGTCCTAAATATCCTTTTCATCAAAGCATGGGAATATCTCTAATCCTCAAATCTGACCACCACCAATTTCACTGATTTCTAACATTTATTATGTTAATTGACAAGCTACTAATTTCACTAATGGAAACCCATCTCTCACCTTAATTGTAACAATTAGCATGGCCTTAGGCATCAGGGGAGTTAAAGACAGCTCAAGTACTAAATGAGACCACTTGGGGAGCCCAGGAGTTCTGATTATATCCAAGTTGACCACACCTTGACTATAAGTTTCTTATTAAGGGGACCAGCAGTTAGCATAACGGCAGTGTCGCTGGAAGAGAACATAGTTAACCACGGTTTGAGTCCCGGACCCGGTGGCTTAAACTCACACCGGGCGCGTGTGCGTGCGTGCCAAGATCCCGAGAGGAGAATGGAGGAGAAGGGATTGCAGAGTGGCCATCCCCCCTGGGGGGTGATTTCTTGCTTTCTGTCTCTCTGTCTCTCTCTGTCTGTCTGGCGAGCGCATGCGCCCTATAGCAAAAACCTCTCCAAAAAAAAAAAAAAAGAAAGAAAGAAAAAAAAATTCTGATTAAGATGGTTTTCTGTCTCTGAAATGTAATTTAAACTAATTTCAGAAACACACAGCTGTATTATATTGTCTCTGTCCAAGTATTTTTAAGTAAATTGTAGACATCCTAACCAGCTATTTGCTATTCTAGGAAGCCTGAAGGAGGACAGGTACGTGTGCCACAGTGTTAGGGCTCCACCTGTAGGGTCAAACGGAACAACCACAAGATCTCCTCACAGGCCCCTTAGCACTCTAGCTTTTCTCTGACCTTAGAAAACCAAGTACAGTGGCTCTTTTCATATGTTCATTTTATTTTTTGCATTGAGGCAATAGTTTATTTCAGAAAGCACTTTCCAGTTGATTTCACGAGTCTGCATCTTATCTAAATCTAGATCAGGTTCATCTTATCTGAAACATGGAGGAAAGTTTGGTCTTTTTTATGTTCAAAGAGAACAATAACCATGTTTTGTTTTAAACAAGACATCATATAATGATACCAAGCCCAGCCTCCTGCCAAATTTGGACATGTGGGATTTCCTGCCCATTTCCATTTACCTGGCGGCTTTGATCACATCGGGCCGTCATGCATGAAGACAA